ATGAGAAACTACCAAATCGCAATCCATGGTCCAAAATCGCAATTGAAACACAGATGAATATAACCGTAACAAAATTCTCTCCACTTTATCATTTGCTTACGGTAGAACAATTATCAATTTTGAATCAGATTTTGGTATTTCAGTATATACCCAAAATTTTGGTATTTCAAATACGGAATATATACCCAAAATTCACGGAGGGATCACGATAAAAATAAAGTTAAGTCGGGACTTGGTTTATGTCGAAATTGGTAACCATCTTAACCGAAACAAACTAGATTCAATAAGAAAAGAGCCTTAAAACAGGGTGTCTTTATCTATTTAAGAAATTAATGGAGACAGTAGTTGGTCTCAGGGAAATTTTAAAAGCGAATTAAACCAAAATAAAGGAAAAAATATACATTAATGATGATGTCCCAAAAACATACAGAGAAAATTAAGTAGAAAAGCCAAAGTCGAAAGAGCTAATAGAAAAAATGTAAAAGTAGGATTCTAGAAACTTAGGGAAGTCAGACAATGTATCCAAGAAATACATCCAAAAACTTGAAGCTAAGATCCTGTCAGGAACAAAAAAAAAACGAGGTAATACGATTGAACAAAGGGCTAACGAATGGAAACACAGAGAGAATTATTATAGAAAATAGGAAAGCAGGAATTGTTATTAAGTTCAGGACCTGGAATATCAAAATATTATACAATAAAGAGAAATTACTCAAAAAATGGAGTTCAAAAGACAAATTTAGATTTCCTAGCTATAACCGCAACAAAAATGATAGGCAAAGTAGAAATAAAACCAGAAAAATGGACATTTGATGTTACACAGCTGAGTTGATGAAAAATAAGGAACAACAGGAAGTGTAGGTTGTGTAATGTTCGTCAATAAAAGAAAATTCTTGCTGAAATAGGAATTTTCATAAGAAGAATAATAATAGTTACGTGAGTACTACATTAACAATGGTTTTAAATAAGATATTAGTTACAAAATTTGATTAAGTAATCTATGGTAATACAGAAAGGTATTTTTTCCATTAATTCAAAATATAAAATAAGAAATTTAAATGATTCAAGACTGATTGAAGTAGTTATCAAAAAATAATTGTTTTATTTTCAAATTTAAATCTTCCTAGTTGACTTTCCCTTACGTTACTGGGCAGCTTATTATACAACATCAGGCCATTTCATTATATGCTTCCTTACATACCAGAAGTTCTCATTTTTGTTGTACGAAAAATACCCCTTTTGCCTAGTATAATAGTCATGTAGATCTTCTGTCAGTATTAGGGCAAAATATTTGTAAGTAATTGAGAAAGTTTACATTTATGAATTATTACACAAACTTGCATAGTATACATTGATTCAAGATTGAGTACTCTTCTTGGACAGTATAGAACTTCTGTGGGATGAAGGCATGGCAGTTAAAAAATATATTTAATGGTTTTAATGCTGTTCTGTAGTACTGTAAGAGGATAAGCTGTTTCTTTCTTCTTCTTCCTAGCATGCACACTTCTATAGCTGTTTTATAATGTATCTGTAATATGTGTTGTTCTAAAGTCGTTATTATACAATCCAAGATATCTGATCTTCTCCTTTTTATTGAATTTTAATTTTACATCTGCAAGTAGAACTATGTTTCCCTATGTGCATCTACATTTGAAATTACCATATAATAACAGTTATTCATATTAAGCGAGTGTTTGTGATGCTTAAGCCACACACACATGTGTTTCTATTAAGTTCTTTTTTACATCAATTTCTAATTTTCTTGGATCTTTATTAGCATACAGAAGACTAGTGTCATCCCCATACAAATACAATATGGACAGTAGTGGTAAATTCCATATTGATTTCATATAAATCAGAATATGTGTGGTCCCAACATAGTCACTTGATAAACTCCACATTGTTCATCGCTTATGGATCAAATGAGGATGGAAAAGTACAATGAAAAGCATGTTTCTGGGAATAATTATCACCAGTAAATGAAGCTAATATGAAACAGAAGTATGTTGTAAGAGATCTTAATAGCAAAGTAGGAAAAATAGATCACCAGTATACAGCAGTAAAGGGAAACACAGAGTCACCAAAATATATGAACAAATATTAAACAAGAAAGTGGACTGTGTTAGACCATTGAGATGTATGCAAATCAATATTAATACTTTTAAAAAAATATTGGGACCAATCTGTGACAATGGTATGTAGAGAATAAGGCTCAACCACGAATTATACCATTATTACAAAGATTACGCTGGGCAGATCACCTTATAAGAATGGATAATAAAAGAACACCTAGTACAACCAATGCTTAAAAGGTATTAAGGGTGGATAATTAGAGAGCAACTATGGAAAGGGATGCTTGGAGGTAGATGCTAGGGGATGCCAACTAGGTTGTAGCATCCTAAGAGAGTGAAATGTATGTAGGATCATATTCTTAGGATCAATGAGATAATCAACAAAAGGCTATCGAGAGGTAGCTATTGAAGAGATATCTAGCTTTTCTAGATATGGAAAAGGCATTTGATAAAGTGCTAAGGTATGGGAAACTCTAAAACTGAGATATACACCAGACAAAATGATAATGAGTTATTTAATCATTATAAAAGAACACCAACAATTGCATATATATTAGAAGAGTTGATGAAAACAAAAGAGGGTGTAAGACAGGGGGAAGTTTAAGTCCTTTAAGTCCTTTATTGTTTATTACATTTAAGGATGACATCATAAAAGAAACAAAAACTATCCACTACATATAAGTCACCTAAAATATAAAAACATATCACATTGTATATTTTGCAGCAATATGTGTATTGACATAAGAAGTACAACAATATGAAACAAAGCTTTAAACAAATTTGGCATAAACATGAATAAGGAGAAATCAAAAGTGATCATAATAAAAGACAGAGTGGACATTTGAATACTTAGGACTGACAACTGAAGAAACTGGCAATAGAAAAACAATCATCAACAAGAAATAATGAACAAACTAACTAAAACACATGTTTGTAAGGCCATATGAATAATTGTAATGACTTATCAGGTATTTGGTATGTTGTTATTTAGAAATAAAACTATTTTTCTGTATGTCTCAATATTTCGCTAAGAAAACTTCAATCTAACTTTGAATAAACATAATAACATTGAAATGTTACTTCAATGATGACAATATCACTTGGGTATGTAAGTAGTGACTCAAAACACGACAAGCAAACATAAATAAAAAACAAATAACACATAATAGAATGAATCAGTTATATGCGTTAAAAATATACACGACCTGGGAAATTTTACTGTTTACATAGAAAAATCAATTTAATTAGTTGGAATATTATTGCAGATATTGCTTAACTGTTCAGAACAATCTTTTTTAAATTACTTTCTTCAAAACCTTAACATTTGAGTAGTCAACACACACACATAAATATAACATATATATATATATATATATATATATATATATATATATAATATATATATATATATTATATATTTATATATATATATATATATATTATATATATATATATATATATATATATATATATGTTAAGTGTTGACTACTCAAATGTTAAGGTTTTGAAGAAAGTAATTTAAAAAAGATTGTTCTGAACAGTATATATATATATATATATATTAAATAAATCTTCAGACTACCAAGACTTTTCCTGGCAAAAGAACTATATGTACCTAATATTTTTTTAGACCAGTGTGAAATGGAGAAATTTTTCACTCTAATATGAAAATAGCTGCCACTCAAGTTCACAACTAAAATGTATGAAATAGATTCCACCTATAGATACAGTGAAAGCAATAAAACAGCATTAAAATGAAAGTAAAAAATCTAATTTAAGAGATCCATTTTATAACCCCCTTTCACTGACTTTTGTTTCCTTTTTGTATAACTAAATTGGAGTTACAGGAATCCAATTACCTAATTCATCAAACTCAGGACAGAAATTTGTCCTATTGACTACTAACATCAATCGAGAAGGCACCTTTTTGGCATCTTTTTCTCTTCCCAGCTTTTCATCTCGATAAAATGCTTCTTCCAATTCTTGACCTCCCTTATTTATGCCTTCCTTTAACTCATTTTTTGTCAGTACTTCTTCATTTTAATCTTCAGCCATCTCTAAATTGATATTTTCTGTCTGAGACAGAGGCATTTAATTTTTAAAAAGCACATCTTAATCTGCTTGTCATTTCTGTCAAATCCTATTACCTTGTTTTTTTCCCACTTTCCTTTTTGGCTTCTTGGTAGAAATGTCTCATATATTAAAATTATCATGAATTAATTTTGTTGTAATATTTATATATTATTGTTATCTAAACAACTAGAGAGAATATGTCAAATTTATGTTGAATTCTCAAATGTGCCAAGAAGATTCAGACCAACAAAAAATTCCCATGTTAAAAAATAACTTAAAGAGATAACTTCGAATTATAATAAACAAAATTTAGACCAAAAACTGCATAAGAAAGCCCTGGATTTAGTCTTCCCATCATCAGATAAAAACAAAGTTTTAATACACATTAAAAAGAAGGGAATAACATGAGCTTTCAAAACAAACAACTTAAGCAAATGTTTGAAGAACAAGAACTATAAGAAAAAGCACTTACAATAGTGGTGTATATAAATTTAACTATGGTACAGCTCAAAATCTTACATCAGTCAAACCGGTAGAACCTTTAATATAACAGAACACATAAGAGCTTTCAATAATAGAAAAACATTCTGTATATGCATTTCACCTTGTAAATTAACAAATTAAAAAATACAGACATAATTCTGAATGACCAACTTGAGAGAAACAGCTCTACTCTTCTTAACTTATTCAGCTAAAGACCCATCGTAAAAATATATCACTTATATCAAGTAATGGTTGAATCACTAAGACATGTTTATTTATAAAATAAATAAATAATTATATTTAATCTATAAAAATTTTTGGTATATTTTAATTGGTTTAAACCTGAATATATATGTATATAAAAAAACTTACCAATCACAGTATTTCTTTTGGCCATAGTGTCAGTCAATTGTCCAGCCACACCAAAGTCAGCAAGTTTGGCGTGTCCTTCAGAATTTAATAAAATATTTCCAGCTTTAATATCCCTGTGTATCTTTCTTCTTAAATGTAAATATTCCAAACCTTTGAGAGTATCAGATAAAATTGTAGCAATCTCATCCTCATCTAAAGTCTTTTTCCTTAATCTCATTATGTCTGATACTGATCCAGCACCACAATACTCCATAACAATCCACAAATCAGTGTTTTTAAAATAACTTCCGTAGTATTTTACAACATAGGTACTGTCACATTGCTGCATGATTGAGATTTCTTTAATAATTTCTTGAAGATCTGTGTCTACAGGTACTTGTTTTATTGCTAACACTTGGCCAGACTCCTTGTGAAGTGCCTTGTAAACACTCCCATAAGAACCTTCCCCAAGTTTGCATATTATATCAAACACTTCTTCAGGCTGACGCGTCAAACTTTCCTCGGATAACTTTTTTAATTCACTGAAACAAAAAAAATCTATTAGTTTCACATAAATAAGTTTAAAAAATCTTTTGAAGATGTATTTCTACTTTGAAAAAAATTAAATTCCAAAGAAAAACTTTATAATTATTACTCCATCATCATCACTGGCTCGACAACCCTTTTCTGTCTTGGCCTATTGCAGGATTCTTCTCCATTCTGATCTGTTTCCGGCTTTTCCGGAAATGATATTATATAATTTTCTAGTGCTTCAGTCTTCCTCTTTTACAGCTTTCGAAGTCATGTATTGCATGAGTTTCTACATGGCTCCCTATTTTAGTATCTTTATTAAATGCCTTATTCCACTGTTTTAGCCAAATCTTATCTTTTTCTTGGATTTTGGGTATCTACTGTGAAACATCTATCAAATTTATCACGGAAGAAGAGAAGTTTTAATCTCTAGGATGATATTTGATACGGAAACACAAAGTATAGAAAACCATGAGATATTTAAATTACAAAAATCAACTAAGTTTTTAAATCAATTAATTACTAAACAATAAACACTCTTCTAATTAAAATGACTTACTAGAAGGAAAAGCTTTCCAAAAATCTACTAGATTTCTCATTCTCATTTATAAGAAAATATGTCAGGAAATTATATTATACTACCAAGGAATATAGCCCCACGTGCATGCATATTCCTTGATATTAATAATCAATATTATTAAATTATAACATTAAAATAATTCAAATTACATATTATAACTAAAAAATAACTTTTACATAAGGATGATATAGATAATTTAGAAAAACTTACATTTTTTATGGACCAGCGGCACAGCTGCCATTTCGTTGAAAAGGCGCAAAAAGTGGTTATAAAAACAGCGGGACGCTTTCCAGTCGGTATTGCCAAATTAAAACAAAAGAAATGACACCCCGCCCGAAAATAAATAGAAGAACTTTGGTACAGATACTGGGTTCACTGTTGCCAGTCTGAACTGATTAGTAAATTTAATTATTATTTTTTGCGATGTTGGTGAAATTTTTACTGACTGGTAGTGGCTGTAAACTTAATGAATATACACTCCCATTATTTTTTTCAAAAAATGGGAAAAATGATGAAACAGGATAACAAAGAAACGAATGATAAGTTAATACTACAGGGAGTAGAGATAGATAAAGAGCTTAAAATATAATAAAAGAAAATGTCCAATATTACTTAAGCAAAGCCTTAAAACTTGATTTCAGTTAAGATTTACATTTTTGTCTGCCTGTGCCTTTAAACATAACAAGCAAAAGTGTAAGTTTCAAACTAAAAGAAAAGCAATATTAAGTGAACATATGAAATAAAAATGATACAACAAACATATAATTATAATTCTTTGAAATTAAAGTTTCATTTAACAGTAATTTCACATAAAATACCTCACCAATATTGTTCAGAGTATATTTTTTAAATGTTCAATGATGACCAGTGTTATAGAAATAATGATTTATAGACTTTCGAAAGCAAGGAACTGTTACAGATGCACCAAAAACGTCAACAGGGAGAAAACCCCACTAAATGAACAATATTGTAAAACAATTTCAAAGAAAAGTACATTTATTCATTTTATTTTCAAAATAAAATATCTACTCTCTCAAAACTGTTAACAGACATTAAAACTGATGAAACTTAGGCAAACACGAACAGAAACAAAATGTTGAAAATTATGCACGAATTAGACTTAATCTAGGAAAAGCAGTAAGAGAAAACCTGAGATATATAGAAGAAATAATTTGTTGACAAATGTGATATTTAAAAATAAGAAAACTGAGAAAGGACAGCAAAAATATTTTTTAACTGGATAAAATACATATTATTGAAAGACACTTTGTAAGAAGATTGGCAAGATAAACAGGATACAAATGCCTGTCAGGTATGTACTAAATGTTTATTTCTGGATTAAAACTTTCAAACTGGTAAAGTTCATCACTCATATTGTAGGAGATAAATGATTTGTTGATCAAGGTTTGCCAGCATTAATTTTAAACTCTAGGAAAGACCTACTGAATTGATTGATGACGAAGATTATGGACAATGCCAGATACCATTCAAAATTAAAGGAAAATAAATTATTCATCAAAATTTAAGAAGATGCTGAATATAAAATTAGCAAAAAACATGGCAATACAGTGACAATTACTACCTTTCGACTAACTACTAACAACTAATCTAGGATTAAATAAAGGAATATGCCAAAAGAAACAATACCACATTTAAACTTAAAGCAATTCATCAGCTAATAAATCACTCAATATCCAAACTGTCAGCTTGAAATTAGCAAAAAGCTATAAGACATAGCAGAGGATGAAAAATTCTGGACATTTGATATGATAATAAAACAAATAATAAAGCCAATTGAATTTTTTTTTGGAAAAAGACGAACGTAGCAATGATCAGCTAATCTGAAGAGAACAAAATATTATGTACATCTGTAATAAATGTATGTGCTAAGAAGAAGTATGGAAGAAAAGAAATTTATCTCTAGGATATTTGATATGGAAACGCAAAGTATAGAAAACCATGAAATATTTATATTAAAGAATCAACTATTTATTAAATCAATAAATTACTAAACAAAAAATAGTCATCTAATTAAAATGACTTCCTAAAAGAAAATACTTTCCAAAAATCTACTTGATTTATCATTCTCATTTATAAGAAAATATTTCACGAAATTATATTATACTACCAAGGAATATAGACCCATGTGCATCCTAATTCATTGATATTAATAATAAATATCAATAACTTACAACATTAAAACAATTCAATTTTACAAATTAAAACTAAAAAAATGACTTTTACATAAGGATGATATAGATAATTTAGAAAAACTTACATTTTTTATGGACCGGCAGCAAAGCCGCCATTCAGGTGAAGAGGTGCAAAAAAGAGGCTATAAAAAAGCAATTAAAACAACAGGACACTCTACAGTCCGAATTGCCAAATTAAACAAAACAAATGACACCCCCGCAAAAAAAGAAGAAATTATTACTGATTGGTAGTGGCTGTAAAATTAATGATTATACACTCCCATTATTCAGGATTATTCTTCTTTTTTTAAAAAATGCTGAAACAAGACAACAAATAAACCAAACAAAAAATTGGAGAATTGTAAAAGAAAATATATATATATATAATGATAATTTAATACTACAGGGAGTAGAAATAGACAAAGAAGCCCAAAATATAATAAAAGAAAATGTTCAAGATTTCTTAGACACAGCCTAAAAATTAATTGAAAGATACAAGAGCCCTCAGGAAAATTGGTAATAAGATCTGCTTAATTGAGATCCTAAATGACCAGGCATTGGACAATAATCAATGAAAAGAAGTTGTCTAGAAATTTATGGAAAGACTATATATTTTACATAATTAAAACAAAATGTAAGTAGTAATCTTAATGGAAAATGTAAATTTTTCAGTCATAGGCCTCTCTTGGGCTTTATAAATAAACATATTTAAAGATTTAGCATATTCTTCTGTCCAAGACATGAACAATAAAGAATAAAAAATGTGTTACAAATATCTTGTGAATGTGGAACATATTGACATTAAATATATCCAACATAAAATTTCTCAACATTAATTATTTCAGTTAAGATTTACATTTTTGTCTATCTGTACCTTCAAACATAACAAACAAAAGTGTAAGTTTCATACTAAAAGCAATATTAAATAAACTTATGAAATAAAGATACAACAAACATACAATTTTAATCCTTTGAAATTAAAGTGTCGTTTAACAGTGATTTCACACACAATACCTCACTAATATTGTTCAGAGTATATTTTCTAAATGTTCAATGGTGACCATAGGTAGAGAAACAACGATTTATAGACTTTTGAAAGCAATGAACTGTTACAGAAGCACCAAAAACTTCAACAGGGAGAAAACCTGGACAATATTGTAATACAATTTCAAAGAAAAGTACATTTATTCATTTTATTTTCAAAATAAGATATCTACTCTCGAAAAAGTATCATCATCATCATCTTTGGCTCGACAATCCTCTGTGGATCTCGGCCTGCTCTAAGATTCGTCGCCATTCTGTTCGGTTTTTGGCAACATGTTGCCATCTTCTGATTTTTAATATTCGTAAGTCGGTTTCTACTCCATCTAACCACCTAATTCGCGGTCGGCCTTTGCTTCTTTTTCCTACAGGTGTTCCTGTGGTTAGCTTTTTAGCAATGGTATTTTCTGGCATTTGTATTATGTGTCCAGCCCATCTAAGTTGCTGTGTTTTAATGAACGTTATGACATCTGGCTCATCAAAGAGCTGATACAATTCAAAATTATATCTTCTGCGCCACTGCCCTTGGTCGTTTACAGCTCCAAATATTTTGCGGAGTATTTTACGCTCAAATATTCCCAAAAGTCTTTCATCTTTCTGCGTTAATGTCCATGTTTCTGCTCCATATGTGAGGACCGGCCTCAGCAATATTTTGTATATAATAATTTTAGTTCTTCTTTGAATGTTTCTTGAGTGGAAATGCTTTTGGAGTCCATAGTATGCCCTATTTGTAAGATTTATTCGTCTTTTGATTTCTTCGCTTGTTTTATTGGTAGCAGTCAATAGCGACCCAAGGTATGTGAAGTTGTCAACACGTTCAAAGGTATGACTTCCAAAGACTGTTTCTCGTTCCTCATTTGCTATCGGATCCTTTGTAACC